AATAAAACAATAAACAATTGAGGCATTGATTTGATTTTGTAGGTAGCTACCTACCCTTCTCATATGAATCTGGATGATTTGTACCATTAAGAAAAAGAAAACATAGGCGGCCTAGGATCGGGAAGGGGATGTCCCCACTTTTCAGTTATGCTAAAAATAAAATATTTATTTTTCATTTAAATTCAAAACTAACAGCAAGAAATTGTTCGGCAAGGTGAGATAAGCACGAAACTGTAAAGAATTTGTTCATAGGGGTATTGGGGTTCCCACAAAGTGACATTGAAGTTCTCTGCCCCCTCCCCCCACACTTTACGTGAGGTTCCTGCGCCCATGGAAAAAAAAAACACATTGCATTATGTGCATCAACACTTAACCCTTGCACTTAGAGAGGGCCACAAAGCCCACTATAAAGCCCACAAGACACCACCTGAAATCAAAGCATGACAAATGATAGCATGTAGGCACCTGACCTACTATAACCTACTGAACCAAACATACCCCATTTATCAATATGTATGTGTAGATAAAGTATGAATGGTAGGTTAATACCAAGGCTGTTTAGTAGGTTGTAGGCATGCTGAAAGGATGAAAGATGGGTATTTGTTCAAAAAATATCTGATCTACAGTTCACATGAATATGCAACATGGGGTCCAGACTGGAAAAAAATACACGTTAAGCCGAATATGTCCGGCGTAGTGGCGGGATTGCGCCGAAAATTTAAGCGCACGTCCGGCGTAACTTCGCATGCGCCGAATTCAGTGCATGGCGGCGGACGAATTTTTCGGTGCAGGGCGGTCGCATAATTTTTTGGCGAAAACAGTCACCGAATTTATGCGGTACGCTGGTCAATCTAGCAGCAGATTCGCCCCGTGGGCAGCTCTGGAGAGGTTGCGGGACGAGACGTCCCCGCCCCGGTCGTCGCGTGCTCGAACTGGCGAGCCGCCCTGAGTCTACTCAGCGGAGGAACGGCCGCCCAGGTGAGGCCTCAACCTTCGGCGTAGAGATAGGCATGGAAAACCTTGTTGAACGTCGCCAAGCGTCGTTAAGCAATAGCAGTGGGTTCCTGCCCACTGCAGTATCGAGGGGAATGAGAGCGTGGACGATCTGGCAAAACTAGCGGCCGCCCTGCCCTCAAACGCCCGATCGCTGACCAGGGCGGTTCATTGTGCGGCCTCGCATCAGTGGCGCGACAACTGCTCAGAATCACTATTCAAGCCACTCTTCGGGAGCACGCCGCCGCTCCCTCTCCCCGGAGAGGACCGAGAGGATGCCATTTCGGTGCACCAGATGAGGGCGGGCCACCGGGGCAGCTCGCTCCAATACGGCACCGAATCGGCTGTCTCCACCCCGCCGCGTGTCAGCAGTGCCCAGACAAGCGGTGCCCAGCGGCGCTCTGCACCGCGTGAGCCGAGAAGAGGCTGATGTGCCGGAGCACGTGCTGCTCCGCTGCCGGGCCCTCGCTGGCTCCCACCGAGGTATTGGGTTTACGTGGAAATAAAAACTAATTCGGACGCTCAAACATGGGATAGTGTACAAAGCCCTGAAACACTGCCTGGTTGATATAGCCTTGATCAGTATATGTGCACATGTGCTTTATATGAAAAGGGCTTATTTTCGCACAAAAAGGCACCTAATTTTTGGCGCAAATCACTCAGAAATTTCGGCGCAAAATCGCTTGCGCCGAATTTCGGCGCAAGATAGTCTCACGGGCATCCGGCATAGTGTATGGATGTTTTCCAGTCTGGCATGGGGTTAGCCGTTAGGTAAGGTTTGATTTTTGTTTTGTATTTGTATCACATGTAAATATCATATCTGGATTCAGGATGTCAAATAGTGCAAGAATGTACAAAATGTATGCCTGAAAAGTGAATCACTCTTTCTGAACATTTACTAAAAGTGGTAGTTTAGTACGCAAAGGTTAGGCTAGGGTAGATGATGTTTTTTATCTTCACCATAGTTTATCTACACAGTAACCGAGAAACCCTCGTCCAGACATAGCAATAGGTAGGCATGGCAAATCATCAAAAAGTTAATATTTTCTGCTCATCAGCATTTGACCAAAATAAGGGTTCTAGCATGTCTGGTTATTTCAGGTTATGTTAGGTTATATGAAGGTGAGGTTAAAACTTTAACAAGCTCTAAGACATATATACGAGCTTCATCTGAGGTTAATATTGAGCTAGGGGTCTGGGTACCCACCTTCCTGTCAGGCCATGATACTTGACACACCATCCTGCTATCTGAGGCGGCCCAGGAACCAGCTCAAGCAATTACAATGAAAGTCAACAGTCGTGCGGGCATTACACCACTCCTCATTAAAATATATCAAGTAATTAGTTAATGACGATAATCCCGCCACCACAAATCTTATGAAACGCATCAACATTGACCTTTGATATTCCGAAAAGAAATATCCATAACACTGAACTCTATAATGATCCATAATGATTTAAAGCAAACGTGTTCTTACGCAGCTGTGACATAAGCTGCGCATACGAAAAACACCCGCTAGACCAATTGATGGCGAATAAACCTGTTGATGAAGAAATACTTGTCTCCCATTGGTCTGTGAACACAATCTGCAGGAAACGCAGCTTAAACTACAGTAAAATTTTGCAGGAAAATCTGCAGAAAGTAAGAAAAATGCAATTTAAACATATTTAGCCACAGGGCCTCGGCTAACATGTTAACTGGTGGGCCAAATGGCCCACCAGTGACCCGAAATGGCCCACCAGCCTCAAAGATTTGGCCCACCAGTAATTTTCCGAAAAATCTAAGTTTTCACATTTCAAATTGAACTAGCAGATCTTATCGTACATTTTCAGGCTGTAAAGTACCCATCGGTGAAACATATTCTTGTGAAAAAACTTCAACCTATTGTTTGCAATATCCTCTTGGGGTAAAAATGGAAGAACGGACCAGTTCAGACGGTCGGGGATAAGCCTGCGAGCGATCTCAGACGGCTGGCCGATAGACACGATATAAGCCAGAGTCAAACTAGAGGTAGTTTCGGCGACTTCCAGCCGATTGAACTCTGCAAGCGATATTAACACTGCCGAATTTCGGCCACGACCCTGTCGCCGAATCACGTCGTGTAGGAAATCGGCAAACAGTTTAAGGCCTTAATCGCGAATGAATGGCGAATCTGTTGCGAATAGTCGGCGATGCCTTGGCAACAAGTCGACGCACGCAGCGACATGTCGGCGGCGACTCGGCGACTGTTTGGCGATCATGTTCGTTTATTATAAATTCGGCTAACGGCCACGAAATTTTCATTTTCATGAAATATACGTGGCGGTCGTGACGACCCGTAAAGCCCTTGTTACACTGCCGCCGAATTTTGGTACACGAATATGCAAGTCATCCTATGTCGCGGACCGATTCGGGATCTTTCTTCCACGGTCTTGGCATTTCGCAGACCAGTCGGTGTCCACCGCGCGACTTTTACGGTTCGTCACGACCGCCACGAATATTTCATGAAAAATGAAAATTTCGTGGCCGTTCGCCGAATTTATAATAAACGAACATGATCGCCAAACAGTCGCCGAGTCGCCGCCGACATGTCGCTGCGTGCGCCGACTTGTTGCCAAGGTATCGCCGACTATTCGCAACAGATTCGCCATTCATTCGCGATGTTCGCCGAATCATGGATCAGCTTCGACCCGCGCACGATTAGGGGGCCCCCTACCCGTTTTCTGAAAATCGGGCTCTGTCGGCGAACTGTTCGTCTCTGTCGGTGAACTGTTCGCCGATTTCCTACACGACATGTTTCGGCGACAGGGTCGTGGCCAAAATTCGGCAGTAACACAAGTCACGCGATGGACACCGACTGGTCTGCGAAATGCCAAGACCGTGGAAGAAAGATCCTGAATCGGTCCGTGACATAGGATGACTTGCATATTCGTGCACATTCGTGTACCGAAATTCGGCAGTGTAACAAGGGCTTTATATGCGTCTTCACGACCGGTATGATGCTTGCAGTCACACATCTGACCAGTCGGACGAATTTCGAACCGTTCACAGTCAGCGTTCCAAAAATTTCTCATTCTTGGGCTGAAGATGACACTCAAGAATAAGAATGGATATTTTTCCACTCTCACATTTTGGGTGGCTAGAATTTTCCACTCAGACACCCAAGACAAATCGGAAATTTGGGACACTGTTCACCAGAAGTGTACATAACTTTTTTTTAAAGAAAATATTAGGGTTGCGCACTCACGCGCAGTGCGCTTGGGCTTTTGAGTCAATTCTTTTCCATGCGACACATGTTGGGGTTGCTGCTACAACCCTCTTTTGGGGTTCCTGCTACAGCCCACTTTATATATAAAGTTGCACTCCGTGCTGTTCACCATTCCTCCCGATCCACCCGACAACGCCCGATCTCTTCCGACCGCTTCCGAATCTCCGACTAGTCGGCGAGCGATCCACTCAGGGCTCGCTGATTTTTAACATCCGACCGGCCGTAAGTTATCGTCCAAAGTTTTATAATCTGCGTCAATATTTTGTGCATACTTGTGCGATTTTATGTGCACTGCCGGAGTATCACCGCTGAGAGGGTGGTGGGTCCCTTCTCTCTCCTCTCTCTGAAGAGTCGGGGGGGGGGGGGGGAGCGGGGTCGAGCCCCGTTTTTTTACATTTTTTAATGGCATCCTGACGTTTTTTTGCAGAATAAAGTGGCCGAAATCTGGGGAGAAATCGAAAATGGGGGGAGGGGGGGGGGCTATGGCTAGTGGCTACCAAGGTCAGTCCATGTCGCTGCCCAAGTGGCCCACCAGTCAAAATTCCTTAGCCGAGGCCCTGTTTAGCCAATGAGTCTGGCCAATCTGTTGATATATTCCGATAGATATTGAGCACGTTCAGTCATTTTGAAAGAATTACGGTCCGACTCTCTTTATTTTTAAAGCAATGACGCATAATATGATTATTGAAAAATTGACAAATATATTTTCTTGGAGGTAAAAGTGGGACTAGCGTCAAGTTAAAAATCAAAATTAGTACGCTGATCGAGACCTCGCTTTCAAAAGTATATATCAGTGCATTTTCGCATCGAATCTCTCTCAATCATGAACAAACTTGGGCAAAAACAGCAAGATTGCCTGTTTTGTCAATTCACACATTTTCATATTTGGGGGCAATTTTAAAGTCGATGGCCAATGTTTTCAAAGCCAACATTTACACAGGAAAAAATACAGCTATTTTTCTTCCAAATTCATTCATTTGTAGAGTCCGACTCTCTCTTGTTTTCTCGCAGTTTCCGTTGTGCTCTGAGAGAAACGATCATGTGTATCATAAGCGTTTGGCTCACTTCAAGACGGCAGAATTTGCACTTGCATTTTCTGCTGTGTGGAAGACCAGAGGGAGTCAGCTAATTTATGACAGAATGTGCTTAAAAAATGACTGGTGAATAATATCTTTTGTCAGTGCCTGACAAATATTTATATTTTAAATCACGCTCTTCAGCTGTCAAGTGAGCTCCAAATGGCCTAAATTGTCAGCTGTTTATCATCCTAGGTCAGCTCAAGGTCACAGACGTCAGCTGAAGAAAGTGGTGACCATTGGCCCTGTGTTGAGCGGACAAACCGGTGTTACCTAGTATTCTATGTACCGTGGCCGGCGCCGGGCGCGGCGGCGGGGATGCAGGGGCGGGCAGGCGTGGCGCTCATCTGCTGGCGGCCGGCGGCGAAACGTCCTGGTGGGACTACTGAACGCTCAGTCCCTGTTTCCCGCTCAGTCCCCGCTCAGTCTCCGCCGTTACAACCACGATTTCTACGTTCTGACCGAGACTTGGCTCCGGCCCACCACACCGACGAGACTGGTCACCTTCCCGGGCTACACGCTACACCGCGCCGATCGGCCCGATGGCTCTGGCTTTGGTGGCGTAGCCATCCTGTGCGGCGGCGGATACTGCGGCTCGATCATCCCCCAGCCCGGGTCGGAGTGCGCCACCTGTCAGCTGGAGAGCCTCTGGCTTCGGGTGAGGCCGGCGACTGGCGCGCCGTTTACGCTGGCTGCCGTGTATCGGCCCCCGCGCCGTACCGCTGCGGCTCTACAGGCGGACTTTACTGAACTCGAGACGCAGTACCAGCGCGTTCTTTTACAATGTCCCGGACCCGTCTTTATCTTGGGTGATCTGAATTGTAATATGCTTGACTCTGTGACCAATCGTCTGTCTGAAATGCTTCAATCACTTCATCTCCATCAGTTTGTGGCGCAGCCTACTTATTCTTCTGGTTCACTGCTTGACGTTGTAATTTCAAACTCTAGCGACGCCGTGCGGAAAGTGGGAGTTTTTAAGTGTGCTTTTGGTCCTCACAGTTTTGTTCGATCACTTTTATCGTTCACTAAGTGTCGCGTCAAACCCTGTCGTGTTCAGACCCGCATTTTAAAGCGTATCGACCATGTAAGTTTGCTCCACGATCTTTACGCTGTCGACTGGACTGGTGTTTATAATTTAGATTCCGTCGCTGCTATGTGGTCCCACATGCTTGCGCTTTTAACTCCGGTTATTGACACTCATGCACCTGTCAAGTGTATTTTAATTAGGAACCCGACCGCTCCACCTGTCACCGGTGCCACGCTCGATCTGATGGCACAGCGGCGGGGTGTGCTGCGCAGCGAGGGGAAGACGCCGGCCTTTCGCGACCTTGACAGACGGGTCAGGTCAGCGATTAGGCGTGACTGCCGTGCAGGTATCGCGGAGAGCCTGCGAGCTCAAGGGAGCAGCTCCCTGTACCGTAGTATCCGCCCTGTCCTGGCCGGTAAGAGGGACGGCGCGCGCAGCCTCCCCACCGCTACACCCGACGAGATGAATGCACATTTTGTTGATGTTGGACCGCGTGTCGCCGCTAGCCTGGCCGGCCTCGGGCCGCCGCCCGATATCCCGTGTCGCCTACCACGTGTCGGTGCGTGCGGGTTTCGGGTGGCCGGCACGACGCTGGCCGGCCTGCGGGCGGAAATGTTCTCCATTAAGCGTTCTGGTGCGTGCGGGTCTGATGGCATCTGTATTCGTATCCTCATCCTATGTTTCGACGCCATCGCTCCTGTCCTACTCCACATCATCAATACCTGTCTTACCTCATGTGATTTTCCCGAGACCTGGAAACACTCTCTGGTGTATCCTATTTTCAAATCCGGCGATCCCTCTATTATTTCCAACTACCGCCCCATTTCCTTAGTCCCCACCATGGCCAAGATTGTGGAGCGTGTGGTGCAGCGTCAGCTGTTTACTTACATGTCTCACAATCATCTCCTATCCTCATCCCAACATGGCTTCCGTCCTCAACATTCCACAGAAACCGCTCTGCTGTCCGTCACAAACCGCATCTTTTCAAACATGGACCGAGGTCACGTCTCCCTTTTGTGCCTTTTGGACCTCAGTAAATGTTTTGACGTGATTCCTCATTCCCAACTCCTAACCAAGCTCCAGCTCTACAACATCGATCAGGGGCGGATCCAGCCGATCCGTTTGGGGAGGGCAAAAGTTTCCGACCTATCCGACGACCCCTATCCGCCCCCGCACTGGGAGGAATGTAATATAAATTTTGGATGGGGATGCAAAATTTTCTCAAGGGTTTGGGCCCCTTTACTTTTTCAAGAGCTGTCAATCATCAATTTATGAAAACCAAAAGTTAAGGAAACAATCCAAAGTTTGACCACGTCTCGGACCTGCGCGACAGACTTGGCTGGCTATCACCAAAATCCATGTCAGATTACCTGACACTCACGATCGCGCAAAAGGTCATTAAGCATGAAGAGCCCGAGAACCTCGCTGCACTTTTCGTCCCCAATCAAAATTTTCGAGACCGGCACACACGGCAGGATCATCTCCTTCATCTTCCCCGACCGAGGCTTGAAACCGGAAAACGGCGTTTTGAGTACCGCGCCGCGGCGCTGTTAAATAGCCTCCCACCGCAGGTAGTGCAGCTGCCACCTGCCAGCTTCGCCCGGTCTGCCAGGGCTGCGCTGATTAACAAATCCCCGCTACGCCGCTGACGAGTCTGTTTAGTAGTAGACAAGGCATGCCGCCAATAGGTGGACGATCTGTTTGTGCTTATGTATATATATATTGTTTGTCTTATGTACATATGTAGATGATTATTGTCGCGACCCCCATCGATGGATGACTGTCGTCTAGTGCTGAGTGTTCTTCCCCCTGCCTGCATCATTGTTACCCATTATACTCGGATCTAAGCCGTAATCGCCACGCCATATGTGGAAGGCTTTTGGTGTCAATACATACATACATACATACATACAAAGTTCTCAAAGACCGGCATCGGACTCAAAAAGCCTGTATGGAGGCCCTCAAAAAACCGGTATAGAGGCCAAAGGAGCTGATGTTTAGCCTAAAGAACCGGTGTGGAGGAAAGGGTAGGAGTCTGAGTGGGGCCTTCAGGGGCAAGCGTTAGGGCCCCAAAAGTATGTGTGAGGCTCTTGGAGGCAGGTAGTTAGGTCCCTTGAGCGTGCATGGGGTCCCAAGAGCTCGCGTGTGAGCCCAAAAATTCGGCTTCATGTCCGTGGAACATGCATGGGGATTCTTAGAAGCCGCTTGGACACATATTTGATGGGTCATGGGTACCAAGATCGATGTAATGGTCCTAAAAGCCGGTGTAGGGCCAAGAAGTTCCGGTGTTGAGACTCTCAGAGGCCGGCGAAGGGGCACCAGGAGCGGATACAGTGTCTCAACAAGCCTACATGGGACCTGACAATCAGTGTGGAATCCCACGAGCCTGCGTAAGCCCTCAGAGACTTTTGTAAGGCCCTCAAAGGTCGTTGTGAATGGTCTCTGAATCTGAAATCTTCGCGGGACCCCGAGGCCAGCATGTCCCCTGCCTGCGTTAAGGCCCTCCAGAGACCGTCGTAGGGTTCTTCATAGGCCAGCGTGGGCCCTTGGAGCCTTCGTTACAGGACTCTCAGAGGCGTTACGGTCCAAGGCGGACATGAGGACAGGTGGCGCCGCCGCCGCTCGCATAGCGGCGGGAATGTGAACTAACCTGTTTACCATAAAGGACTGTGCTAACGGCCGCTGCGGGCGCCGTTTCGGGTTAGTTTTGACTTTGTACCGCAACTAATGGTTTATTTATAATAAAAAATGGACTAGCGAGAGTCGTGCCGGAATCAGAATTCAATGTTCTACAAAACTAAGCCATTTTCATTGTGATCACGTCATAGACTTCACCGCCCAACCCAATAAAGCAGAAATATGTCGTGTCACCGGTGATTACATGCAAGAATTCTTTGGCATATAGCATAAAAACCAGAACACCTTTGACTGCAGCGACTATGCGGTACTACAGAAAATTGTATGGCCTGCCTAATGGTGCCCATTACTTAATAATTAAGTTGAGTATTTCGTCGCCTAACTCTTGTAAAACCGTATGTCCGCTTGTCTATGGACTTTGGACCGTAACGGTCAGCATGACCCCTGCAGTCTGCCTGCGTTGAGGCCAGATCAGAGGCCGTCGTGGGGCCCTCAGACGCCAGCGTGGGCATTTGAAGCTTGCATTGGGTCCTAGAGGTCGTCGTGAGGGCCCATAGATGACAGAGGTCGTGGTGAGGGCCCTCAGGGACCGTCTCGGGTGGTATCACTGTGGAAATCGTTGTGAGGGCCCTTAGAAGCCTTCAAGAGGACCATCAGAGGTCATCATGAAGATCCTTGGCCATCATGGCGGTCTTCATAGACCCTGGGCCCTCAGGTATCTTTGCAAGGCCCTCAGAGACTGTGGTAAGGACATCAGAGTCCATCGTTAGGGCCATCAAGAGACCGTCACAGGTTCCTTAGATGCCATCATAGCCCCTGCAGCCTGGTTGTGTTGGGGCCCTCAGAGGCCGTCGTGGGCCGTCTAAGGCCCGATGGGCACTCAGACCTGAGATGGGTCTAGGACCGTGTCACGAGGGCCCTCAGAGACCACCGTGGGGCCCTCAGAGGCAGTGTAACCCCTGGAGTCTCCGTGGGGTCCTCAGATGCCGTCATGGGGCACCAAACGCGGTTCGGGACACTCCTAGCCGGTGAGGGCCCCAAAGACCAGCATAGGGCGTTCCTGACCAACAACTGGACGTCTGATGATCGGTGATCCCACATGATCGTTCGTTTCCCGATCACTGGTTTTTAGGATAAAATGTATTTGGTGGTGTGACAGGCCTCTTATACGGCTTTTGGAGGGTGCAAAAAGCTATGTTTGCACTCCAATGTCTTCCATGGGTCTGGAACTGAAACCCCTGCACCCTCTATCCGGATTTCCGCTGCCCTTGAGCACCGAGATGACCAAACGACTTTACAACGCCACACTATCTACCTGCAAACAGTTCAGGGAGTTCGATCTATTAACAGCATTCTGGCATAAATCATCAGCAGCGAGCGTCCAACTCCTTCCTTCGGAATGGCCGTCACCGAAAGTCCTGCTTTTCGTCCAGATAGTCCTCGACGCCGTATTCAATTTTATTATCTCTATATGCTTTGGGAGGGGCAAAAGGACAGTCTTGCCCACATGATTTAGCTTTGGGGAGGGCAAATGCCCATTTTGCCCTCCCCTGGATCCGCCACTGACATCGATCCTTCTTGGTTCTCCGCATACCTTTCCGGTCATACTCAGTCAGTCTCCATTTGTACTTCTTCCGGCAGCAGAGTGGCTTCTAAACCTCTTCCTAACACCATGGGAGTTTTCCAGGGCTCTGTCCTTGGTCCTCTGTTGTTCACAATATTCGCCAACGACCTCAGCCTGCACGCGCCGGACGCCCATGTGATCCAGTACGCTGACGATACCCAAATCCTTATCTCCGACTTGCAACAAAACATCCCACTCCTCATCCAGCGCATGGAAAACACCCTGGCCTCCCTTTCATCGTGGTTCCATGCACACGGCCTTAAGCTCAACACCTCCAAAACCGAACTCCTTCTCCTTGGAACCAAGCAAAACACCCGCAACCTGCCCCTGTCAGCGTACGGATCGGTGGGGAGACCGTTCGGGAGAGTCACACAGTGAGGAACCTGGGTGTGATTTTTGACCGGCACCTCACCTGGGATGCACATGTGAGTGACATCATTCGCAGGTGCACTGGCCTCCTGATCGGCCTCCGTCACCTGAGGCATTTCCTCCCGCAGCCGGCACTTCTAGCTGTTGTTCAGGGGCTGATCATCTCGCGCCTCAGGTACTGCGTGGCTGTGTACGGCAACGGGTCGGCCGCGAACGATACGAGACTTTTAACCCGCGCCCTGGTGGGGGGGGGCTATTTTTTGCCCCCCCTCCAGACTTTTCAATATATCTCCAGAACCGCTGCGCCGATCGTCACCAAACTTTCAGTACCCTCCCGGACATCAATTTTACACATTGTGACCAAAAATTTTTCCAAAAGCTATGATAGGTTGGCCGGAAATGACGTCAGAGTGACGTCATGTTCTGCCGTTTTCGACCCAAAAAAGGGTTTCGCGGGAAGAGCTGTCAGGCCTATAGCTTTTCAAATACAGAAAAATGTTTAGGACATAAAAGCTGTAGAATTGACAGGGCTACAAAACTGCTATCTCAGATTTTTGAATTTTTTTGATTTTGACCCCCAAAAATCAAAAAATAGATTTTTGGGATATAATAGTCAAAAAATCCAAAAAGTTTTTTGAATTTCGCAAAAACCGGAATATATGTGATAGTCCTTACCGCCTTCCATCCACATACCAAATTTTAGATTGATACCTCTTTTTTTGGCGAAGTTATAGCGAAAAAACTGTTCAAAATTGATGACGTCAAATTTTCAAACTCAATTTTTAGCAATTTTAGACCTCGTAGTGCAAAACAAAGACCACCATTAGACTCCCCGTGACGAGCTGCATCGAATCGATACCCTTTTTATGCAAAAATATCAACTTTGAAATTTGACCTTTTTTGACCTGACCTTGACCTGACCTCCACCAGAAAGTGACCTAAACCGTACCTGATGGTCTTATAACCAACACCATTGGGTTGGAAATGAAAAACTGGCCATAAAACATGCATCGCACAACCTTAGTAAAGTTGGGATCATGTGGTGACCCTTGGTGACCTTTGGTGACCTGACCTGGTATGACCAGTGACCTCTAATAGCAACATATGTACTAGACAACTGACGTCTTATCGCTGATTTTCGACAAAATGCGTTTTACTCGGTGTTATAGCGCTTTCCCTAGAAGCCCCGTGAACGGTGAAACATTTTATCTTTGACCTGACCTGTGACGTCATCGGTGACCCCGAGGTCAATAAAATTTGGTTTCCCTCGACAAATTTGACAGGGCTATCGAACGCCGTTTGAATTTTGCGGATCCGTCCAGTAGTTTCGGAGATACGAGGGGGGGCAAAAAATAGCCCCCCCCCACCAGGTCGCGTTATAAACAGACCCCACCAGGGCGCGGGTTAAAAGTTCTTAACTTCGCGACTCGTGTCGTCACCGGTTTGAGAAAGTATGACCACATTTCTCGCGCCCGTAATGACCTGCAGCTGCTCTCGCCGCGACAGATGTTTGAGCTGAGGACTTTGACAACAGCCTACAATGTGCGTGCCAGTGGTGAGCCTGCCGAACTCGCCTCTCTGTTCACGACCTTTTCTGAAGCACGAACCTGTGAGCGTGTGACACGATCGGATTCACGCCTACGACCCCCTGCCACGCGCACAGTGACCGGCCAACGCTCGTTTGGTTACCGAGCAGTGTCACTGCTAAACCGGTTGCCGGTGGGGGCCATGGAGCTAGACACGCGGGGCTTCAAGCGCGCTGCTAAGGGACTTGTTCTGTCGTAGCTTTTATGTGTGCATGTGAGCGTGCAGGTATGACTGTGATGCTACCTGTGATTTTTTGACAAGTTTCCCACCAATGTTTTAACTTTGTAACAACTGACACAGAATAGCCACGTCTGCACTGTGGAGTGTCTGCGGAAGTCGTAAATAAATAAATAAAAAAGTGATATATTATGATATGAGAAGATATAGGTCAAAACAAGCATGCACACGAGCGGGTGTGAATAAAATTGTATTTGAGGTATGCCTTTTTAATATACGTTCGATTTGCTTTAGTTATTGGTAAGAACAGAGGCAACCAGGAAGAGCGCCCCTGAAGAAAAGGTGGCGCACTTGACGGGTGCGATTTTAAGGTCTAAGCCCTAAGGTCAGTCGGGGACCTCTAAGTTCGGGTCAAGCGCTCCATGTTAGGGGTAAAAGAATGGGGGCAAAAAAGCATCCCGATTTTGGCAGCATCGTCTTCGTCATGCTGTGTCACGGCACCCATCCACTCCTTCGCCCGAAATATAGTTCCCTTTTTGTATCAGTTCTGGCATAATCCCGCACATTATGCTGCATGTTGTTTGTCATGAAAAACAATGCATGTTCAGCTACGTTCTACGCAGTACGCTTTAACCTAACCACCATCCCACCATCCACCACTAACCACCATCCCGTTCTGTGCTCCCTTCCACCCCACACAAATCAGCCGAGATACTAGTCAGTCGGGCTAGCGCTATCCTCCCCTCCCTTCCTGACTGCACAGCGCTAAAACCTAGAGCCGAGACTTCCCGAGCGCGACCTCTGACCCCACGCGGTCCTTAGGCATCGGCTGTCCGAAAGGTCAGCCGATGCCTAAGGGCGCGCCGCCCGCCGGCCACCCGGATAGCCTCTGCTGAGTCTCCCTTTCATACACCGTTTTCTACGCGCTCGATTCATTCATGATTCTGTGTTTCATGATGGCTCTACTGATGTCATAGGCGATCCCAGGCAGGCAGACGTCCTCCGGGCTATCAGCGGCACGACGTGGGGCTGCTCACCGTCTGATCTGCGCAGCACCTATCTCGCCTTCTCCCGTGCCTGCGCCGACTACGCCGCCGGTGCTTGGATGCCCGGCCTCAGCGAGTCTGGCCTGAGGGAGCTGGAAACGGTGCAAAGACAGGCGTGCAGGACAATCACCGGCTGTGTCAGATCCACACCAGTGGACGCCCTGGCCAGAGAGGCGGATCTCCTGCCTTTCTCGGCGCGGCGGAGGCAGTTGGCGGCTGTGGCGATGGAGCGCCACTCCCGGGACCTACCAGACGACCCTGTGCAGCGGATCCTCCTCCCTGAGAACCGGCCCCGGCAACGTCTGCGCTATGATAGAGGATGGGCACGGACGGGCCAAGAGCTATCCAAAGACGCCGGCCTAGACGACTTCCCACGCGAACCGTTCCTGGTGGTTGCCAACACCCCTCCCTGGGAGTCACCACCACCACCAGCGGTTTTCTTCCACACTGGACTCGTGAGGCCGGTGCCGCACAACGCCCCCGCCGAACAGCGACGGACTGCCGCCGAGGAGACGCTAGCCGGACTGCCGAACCCGGACGTCCAGGCTTTCACGGACGGCTCGGCCACAGCCGGCACAGAACGAGGCGGAGCAGGGGCAGTCTATAGGAGCGGCAGGGAAGTGAAGAGGATCCGAGCGCCAGCGGGGCGCTTCACGTCGAGCTACACAGCGCAGCTCCTCGCTCTACGTGGGACACTCAAATACATCGAGTCCATCTTTACCGATCAAGACCCTGCACTCAGTATCCAGCTGTGCACCGACTCCCTATCATCCCTCATGCGTCTGAGGGAGGGCCCGGCCAACCAGACTGAACGGGTCGCTGACCAAGTCTGGCTATCCCTCCGGCGACTAGGACGACGCCACCGCGTGGACCTTCAGTGGGTTCCCGGTCACGCGGGAGTCGCCGGCAACGAGATCGCCGATACCGTGGCCAGGGAGGCCGCTGAGCTGCCGCAGGACGGGATACCCATCACCTTCGCGGCGGCCAAGAGCCTGCTGAAGCGCCACGTAAGCAGAGAGTGGGTGGAGAGCACGCGCCACTCCCGACCTACGCCCGCGACCCGCCCGCACCTAAGCCACGACTACCACGATGTCGTCGGCCCGGGCAGGGTCAGGCTGGTAGACAGGCTCGGCCTGTCCAGGAGAGAGGGCACCGCTTTGGTGCGCCTCCGGACCGGCCACTCTCCTGCCCTGCAAGCGTACCGCCACTTCATCGGGGTGGAGGAGGACGATGGATGCCCGACCTGCGACGGCGGGGTCAGGGAGGACGCGGAACACTTCCTGACGTCGTGCCCCGCGACGGCCCGCGTCCGACACGACGTTTTTGGGGAGAGAGGACCCGACGCTGCGGGAGGTCTTCGCTGACCCGTGCCGGGTTATCGAGTTCCTGCGGCGCCTGGGCCGACTATAGAGCGCCCACGGCGCTAGACACTCTGGCGGGGTGCTGGTTTTTCCGGCCCTGCCCGGCGTCTGAGCCCGCCGGAACCCGTCTGGGGGCCTGCTGCCCTCCCTGCGCGGACGTCGCAAGTGTCGCCCCCGAGGGGGGCTGGGGCCCTCCCGGGCCCCCCATGTGGGCCCACCGGGCCCGACGGCCGGAACGCCAACAACAACAACAACAATCCCAGGCAGATTGCGGCCAGAATACCCCAAACGGCAGAAAATGAGGTTTTTGGTGAATATCTCGGAAAGTATTTGGCATACAAGGATGCAATTTTACAGTCTAGTGGTAAATGTGCATACACACAATTCGGGTTCATACAGGGTGTCCCATAAGTTCGTTCTCACATTATGTTTGCATGTGAAACAGAGTACATTGCGTTTTGGTATATTTATGACCCCTCAATGTGCTCCCCATTTAATAGGCAAACACATGAATACATGCTGCGGCATGCCAACCGGCATGTTTGGCTGCATAGCAGGCTTAAAGTTAACCCAGACTGACTTGACATGCGCCGTGAGCTCCTCGAGGCTGGAACAGCGCTACGCTTCAACGAGCCTCAACTTCAGCATAACCAACAAATTTTTATGAAATTTTGATCCGATGAGGTGCCTGGCATGTGATCTTGCCACAAACGCCTGTCACAGTCTCCTTGCACCGCTTTTAAGCTTTGCTTGACCTGTGCACTGATGCACTGTCTTGCCTGAAGATGGGCCTACGACCTCCCGGATGCCATTTTCTCCTCTATAAATGTGTTCATACTTGCGGTTCGAGTTCAGCTTGAGGGCTGAAATTCCTCCTAGATGTTCTTGGAAAAGCATTCTGCTTCCCAAAACTGTTTCCGGGTTGCAACTTGTAACTTGATCAACTCCAGAACGCCTATAACCCCACAACACAGTGACCCTGGCCTTTTGCATAGGAACATAACGGGACGAAATGAAGGCCTCCTCCTTCGCCCTTATGGGGTTGTTTTCGGGTTTGGACGGGTGTTTCATCTCGAACGTGGACTAGTTAGTCCAGATGACCTGGTTGATGTCATCAGCCCTCTAGTTTTGTTTAGCCTCAGGCATAACGAAACTCATGTTTGGCCATTTTAAGACGTTTTTGACTGTTTTGAGCCCTCCGGTAAGCAAAGCTTAAGTCACCTTGAGTTATGTACCCCGAAAGAACACTCTTAGACAGCCTGATCCATCCTGAAAAGTCTGTTTACCAACTTTCTAACCCTTTGACCTTTTTGATGGCCACTTTGGCGCCACACAGTTTTGGCCACTTGGCTCATTCCTGAGGGCTGGCTAGAAAGAGGATAAACTTGCAGTTATTGACTCCCAACAAATCATCGGCGTCACTTGCTGACTGTGCGTCCAGTTAGCGATGGATATTGGCTACAGACTGGTAGGCCTCAATCACCCTCAATCGTCGCGAATGGTCACGTGCTGACTAAATACTGAGACGTACCCGTATCGGAGACCTCTATGTTGCGGCGTTAGCCGTCTCTGTAGGAAGCGGGCTCTCTAGCAAAAACTATTTTGTCTACAGAAATTAGCTACTGTGGAGCATATTTCTACCAGCCATGGCAACCATGTAAGCTCAGTTACGAACCAATTTCAGCGTGCCTTTAAGCAAGAAAGCCTAAAAACGTAAAATTTAGGTGAGAACGAGCTTATGGGACACCCTGTACTTATGCATTTGAACATTATATAGGACCAGATATATCCAAAAAAAGCAAAACCACCAAGACTTTTACTGGAGAACCGTACCCACACATTTCTCTGCCAGCCCGTTCGATTTCGGTGACATGGCAGGTGTAGTCAGATCACTGATCTTGAAGAGTTCATCAGATGACCGATGAACTTTTTTCAGACATGAGGCCTTGAGCATTATCCGTGACAATCGTACGAGGGAGGCCCTAACAAGCAAACGGTTGCCTTAACAGTTCGAGTGTCGCCTCTGTGCCGGTGCTCCGGGTGGGGTGTACAATATACATCCATCCACTTGGAATGAGCATCAACTACAACCAAGAACATCCATCCGGACATTGGCCCAGCATGATCTAAATGTACCCGTTCCCACGGTCTGAACGGCCACACCCACGGGTAAATTGACGTTTCAGATACACCCACGGGTGAATTGACGTGTCAGGTACACCCGCGCGGGGGTGAATTGACGTTTCAGATATACCCACGGGTGAATTGACGTTTCAGGTACACCCGCGCGGGGGTAAATTGACGTTTCAGGTACACCCGCGCGGTGAATTGACGTTTCAGGTACACCCGCGCAGGGGGTGAATTGACGTTTCAGGTACACCCACGGTTGAATTGACGTTTCAGGTACACCCGCGCGGGGGTGAATTGACGTTTCAGGTACACCCGCGCGGTGCTCCTGACACTCACCACACTGCTTTGTCATCGAAACGATATGATCATCAAGATTCGGCCACCATACATACATGCGCGCGAATGACTTCATTCGGGCTTCCCCCACTGGTCAGCTTACGACATGAGCGTCCATCCACTGAGCTACCGAGAATGGTCCTCGGCTGCACAAAACAAAATGGCATTCACCCGCTGACCGCCAATGACAGTTTTGTGACGTTTGATCGCGTTTGACCGCAACGACTGGTCACTGGTCTCGGCGGCTCAGTGGGTACACGCTGGCGTCGTAGGGTGACTGGTTGAAGAAGCCCGGTTCGAACCGTCCCGGGTGCGCGACTTATTTGCTCCTGTTGGAACGGTTTGCGTATCAAACTACGTGTTAATGATTCTTTTAAGGCCGCCGTCCACTGTGCCGAACGCTTGCGGTCCGTACAGAATTTAACACAGAGCCCTATGGGCGCATCCGGTCCGTACGGAAATCGTGTGCGCTCCGTGCGGACCGTATCCGAACGGCAATCAGCTGTCGATTTTCCGTCAGCTCTCCGCATGCGTTTCGGAAGCGGTTGCCACGGAAACGAAATAACAAAGTCCGACATGTTGAACTTTTCTGCGGAGAACGCAGACGGAACGGACGCGGACAGGGACTGTCTTCCCTCTTCGGGTTTTCAATTGCAAATTTTAGAAAGAATTTCAACTCTTTCAAGATGAAGTAAGTAAACATAATTTCCTTGACATGGCAGCATTATGTTATGCCAGTAAATTGCTATATTTTCTTTTGTAATAACTGATAACTGCTCTTCACAAAGTGTTCGCCAGTGTCCGTGATCTTTCCGTCTGCGGTCCGGATGCGGTCAGCGTGCGGCGACATTCCTGACGGACTCCGGACGGAATTCCGTCAGTGGACGGCGGCCTTTAGACTCCTAGGTCAGGTGAAGTCAGCTACATTTCAGACTGATTCGGTGGACGGGTTTAGAATAGCTCTTGCAATGATAAGCGATACAAATATATTTTGACCTAAAAATAATCTTAAATAACTTCAAAGGAGGCACCATTGATGAAAAACTTAATGAAATTTCGCTCATTCTTTCTGATCTATCCGCCCAGTCTCAGTCTCTCCGCTCAGTCTATCCGATCCACAGGCTTTATGAACGTCAACAGACAGAAGTACACGGAGCACATGGTCGTGAGTAACGGTTAACTGAGAACAGAGGCCTCTTGCACCAAACTACCTAGCTAGGTAAAATCGAAAAACCGGTTTCAGAATAAGCTAATCTAACGGTGGTAAATTTGTTTGCAATAGCCCAATACATTATCCTACATGTGCTTGCTAAATTTTGCACGCAAATTGTCACATTTGAGACTTGGACTGGTTATGCGATGCAAAATAATCTAAGCATTGGTGCAAGAGGATTTTGGTGCAAGAGGCCTCAGCTATCAATGTCGTACGAGGGTGTCTCAGGAAAAAAAAACACTCCGTGATAGGCTTGAGAACTTGGCCGTAAATGCACGCGAGAAACATTGCCCGAAATCGTCACAGGTGAATCGGTTACCGTCTTTCAGAGTACAGATGACACTGTTTTTCTTTACATACTTAAGCAGAGAACAAAAGCGTTTTTAAGTTCACTTAAGGCCGCCGTCCACTGTGACGGAATTCCGTCCGGAGTCCGTCCGGAATGTCGCCGCTCGCTGACCGCATCCGGACCGCAGACGGAAAGATCACGGACACTGGCGAACACTTTGTGAAGAGCAGTTATCTGTTATTACAAAAGAAAATATAGCAATTTACTGGCATAACATAGTGCTGCCATGTCAAGGAAATTATGTTTACTTACTTCATCTTGAAAGAGTTGAAATTCTTTCTTAAATTTGCGGTTGAAAACTCGAAGACGGAAGACGGTCCCTGTCCGCGTCTTTTCCGTCTGCGTTCTCCGCAGAAAAGTTCAACATGTCGGACTTTGTTATTTCGTTTCCGTGGCAACCGCTTCCGAAACGCATGCGGAGAGCTGACGGAAAATCAACAGCTGATTGCCGTTCGGATGCGGTCCGCACGGAGCGCACACGATTTCCGTACGAACCGGATGCGCCCATAGGGTTCTGACTTTTGTGTTAAATTCCGTACGGACCGCAACCATTCCGCACAGTGAACGGCGGCCTGTAGTCTCGGATACCTGCTGAAAATGGTCTCCCTGGTGTGCAGCAAGAGGAGAGCGTTTCATGCGACAGTGGGCACTGGGCAACATTTATTTTTTATTTTTTTTTTTGGCGCAAAGATGTTTTATGTATGTCATGCGGCACAGTCTACAGGTACAGGTGGCCCATCGCGAGCTCGGAAATTCGTATAACCGAGCGGGTGTAGCGAAGGGATCACTGCTGATGCTGAGCTGCTGGCGGGTGGGGTGCGCTCACTGAGCCACCAACAGAAGTCACTGCTAGAGGCCCACCATGTCACACACTCTCCTGGAGCACATGCATGAAGAACCAATAGATGGTGAACAGAAAGCCGGGAGGCGAGAGCACTTCCGGCCGGCTGACGTACTGTCGGACCTGGTCGTAGCTGAGCTCCACCACCTCGATCAGCTCGCCTTCCTCCGGGTTGCCGCCGCCTGAGGAGATCAACAAGTCAATATAGGTCAGCGTGGGCAGTCTACTTCTTGTTCACTCTGTTCACTGGTGCCGCAACACCCATCGACCCATTCGCACGACCACTCATTCTCATCTATCACACGTAAACGATGTAAAATGATCGTCACGCATGAAACGCGCTCATTTGCGGACTAACTAAATTCAACATTGAAGCTTATTGGCTGTGCGCTAGAGGTCTGCATAGGCCGCCTGTGACCACGGCTGGCTGCAGCCCCACGGCTTTTCAAACTTAAACCGATCGCCGGTTGTCAGACGCCGGCGCCTGTGCAGGCATACCAAAACCAGGTATTGTCCATCTGAACTTGACAGTCACGTGACCCATTTGACCTTCGGATCCAATTCTGGTAGGGGCATTCCACGTCAAATCAAACCATTTTGTAAAACTTTGATGCCCTATATTTAGAAGACCTGTGGTCAGAATGTGCAAACAACATCAATGTAATGTCCGGGGCGACACAGGAACTCGCTCACAAATTTATAATGAAATCGCTGATGGTAAGGTGCAAAACAGCCGATTTTTGTTCGATTTGACGTGGAATGCCCCGGTAGTCAATGCTGGCGCTCTTGTTACCTTTGCGAAAAATGTAACCCCGTGTTCGCAGTTTCTCGTACGACGAAGATTCTGCGTGATCTGGCCAATGGCGTTGGAGAACCGCGGCCAAGCCCCGCTGATCTTGAACGTGATTGGCCGGACGCCGGACGGCGTAGAATCTTCGTCGTTCGGGAGACTGCGAACACGGGGTAGACAATCTGTGCGTGGATATAGGGAGCGGTGAATGCGTAAGGACGATGATAGGATGAGTCGTCTTTTATTATTTATATTATTATCCTCATTATGCATTCTGATCATTTCCCTTATGGTCAGGATTTTTCTCTGTTGATTTAACAAATAAAAAACGGCGTGCTTTACGGCTAACGCCAAGTGACAGATTGGAATTGGGTTACAACAGTTGGGCAAACCAGGCTTCTGAAATAAAAAATGGAGGCATCAAAAAAATTGATTCTTCATGACCATATTTGGGCATAAATGTAGACCGTTTCTTAACCCTCGGCCGCACATGGGGGGTGGTTGCCACCCCCCCCCCCCCAGGTAGTCTTTCTGCTCTGCACTCTACATTTTTTCGAGCTAGAAGCCTGATTTTTCGTATAGCTGCTCCTCTATCCTTTCTTAATGTTCACTGAAAATTTCAAGTTTCTGTGGTTTTTGGTTTCGGAGATATGACCCTGTTTTTCAGGTCATGTCATGACCCAAATGACCAATTCTCAACATCTTGCGTTGGCTATGGGCCTTGTGAGCTTTGGACACCTTGATTTCGGCCTTTTTGCCAGTCTTACCTCTCACCTATCATGGAACATGTTGTTCGACGATGTACAGATGTCAAGGTCAGGGTCAAGGTCAACCTAGGTCATCTAAAATAATTGCTTTTCAGGCAAGCTAGATTTATTTTTCGTGAAGTTTTTTGACTGCATTTTGGGTAAAAGCTTCTTCTCAGATCATGATTTCATGTAATATGGACCATAGATAACATGAATCTGGATTGGACACGAAATCTGATAAATGCAGAATGGGGCCGAAAATTTATCAGTAGGATCCTTTGTTTGTTGTCCGCGCGATCGATCTGCTAAAATTCACCATAGCCTGCATTGGACGATGATCATTTAAACATTTGAAACTATTATATTTCGCAAAGTATTGAATCAGAGCATCAGTATTTGTGGTTTACTCTTATTCTAAGTTCAAAATCGATTCAACATATTTTCCAATTCATTCAAGTGATTGATACTTAGGCATATGCGCTTCGTTTACAATTACACGCTTGTTAGCTTATGGCTTACATTACAAAAGGAAACACGGTAAAGGAATGGTGACTGGAGAGCCTTTCAAACAGCAAAGCAAGGAATAAGAAGCGCTACAACGGAGAAGACGAACAACAGGCGACAAGCGTGTTTTTCCTGACAAAAACGGACTCAATTCCGATGAAAACCCATACCACACAGGATCGAGATCTCAACCAGGAGCATTCCGGAGTAGCGGTGGCAAAATGTGGACCCGGGGACCCGGGGTCCAGACCGGGTCCCCCAAAATATTTGGCCGGGTCCAACCGGGTCCTATCATTCCCCTGTGCTATAAGGTATAAATGTTGATATCTTTTACGCTTTGGCAAACATGGTTGATGCAGTTTCCAGTTCATAAGTCCCAATTCCACTTTTGAATTATAATATTCCTGCAAATTGGGCTACCTATTCTGTAGCATACTGGTCAACCTTGCTTCAATTTCTTATCTTGGCACCTACAACAAAGCAAACAAGTTCTAACTTGAACTGCAAGCAGTCCAGAAAATATTTCACCAAATGTTTGTACAGTGTACACTTATCACTTCCATTCAGTTTGCTGTACAGGGTGTCTCAAAAGTTCGCTTACAGGTACCAGCCATGTTTTTTTTTGTCAATAATTCTGAATCAACATGAAATTAACAGTCGAAATTTTGCATGGGCATTGGTAACAACCTTCCTCAAGCAGCTTCATTGTTTTCAAGCGCATTCGACCCTTCATGAGCACACAAAAAGGGTTCACCTCTGACCATGGATCAGGCATGAAAATGGAGGTCGCGTACTCGGGTCGGCTGAGAAACTCTCTGCTTCACGAGTAATGGGAATGGTTAGGTCGGAAATGACACATGGCAAAGTGTCGGCGAGGATGAGTACAACATGATGGTCATCTAATAAAAACGGTGGCTAAAATTTTTGAAGGACAAAACCATGCGAGACTAACAGCGTTTTGAACGACCCTTGTACCGCAGCAGACTCGTGCTCCGGAAAGCAGCTGAAAATGCAGTCCTAACTATTGAAAACTGACTAGAAGCTCACAGACAGAGGTTACCCAGTTTCAAAAATTGCAGGTCATCATAAAATACAGACAAAATATCATTTAAAATTGTTTATAATATCTATAACGCTAAATTTTGAGGGAAAATAATGCGAAAATCGTCAATGCCGAGGATAAATGACCCTCCAAAAGTGTTAATTAATGTAAAGTTTTATCTAACGAAGTTTCAAGAGGCAGATCTGGAGCAAATAGCTTTCTTTTACACACAAAATCCGGACAAAACCGCACGATGGACAGGTTTTGGCCGTTTACAAAGCAGAACCTCTCCCGAGGAAAACACTCCGGAACCCAGCGAAGGTCTTGGCATTGGGAATGACGAGCGTTCGGGATTTGCAAATTTTGCAAAATGTGTCTAAGAAACAGATGGCCGACACATTCTGCTACGATATGCTGCGAAAAATTTGCCCCTGGCACTTCCCATTTGTTCAGGAATGGGGTTGTTTTGAAAAGGAAAATGGTGCTTGGGAGGTCGGCGCCAGTCATTCATGAAGGAGTTAGCGCCAGAGAAGACCTACAAAATACTCACGGATGGTGTCGATGCAAGCTATCGGCTTTCAGGGAGAAGCGGATGTTGCCGGAGAGCTCGTCAAACCTAAATCCGACGCAGAAACTGCGGGGGATTCCCCTACAAGAGCTTGAAAGCTGGTAACCTTTTATCAGCCTCCGGC